GATCCCAGAGTGTGTTTGCCTTTGATTTAACCCAGACCTCAGATCAACCGAGTGACCAATCTACCAACTCGGATGAACCCAATGCACTCTGTCTCCTCTTCCCTGTTTGGAACATGCTCGAAATATTTGGATTTTATCTGTTCTCCACTTACATGGAGCAGCTGCACAAATAGCCATTTAAAAGAAGGACACAGAATTCTCCAGCACAACCAGTGCTCGAGAAATCACACAGTCATGGAAACAGACCCTTCGGCCCAAATAGTCTATGCTGACCATAATCCCAAACTAAACTAGTCTCACTTGCCTGTGCTTGGCCCATATCCCTCCAAACATTTCTTATTCATGTGCTTATCTAAATGTCTTCTAAATGTTGTAACTGTACCCACATTCACCACTTCCTCTGGAAGTTCATTCCACATACAAACCACTCTCTGTGTAAAAAAGTTGCCCCTCACATCTTCTTTAAATATTTCTTTGCTCACCTTAAAAATGTGCCCCATATCTTGAAAACCCCACTCTAGGAAAAAGACACCTGCCATTCACCTTATCTATACGCCTCATAATTTTATAAAACCCCCAAAAGGTCACCCTTCCATTCCCCCATGCTCCTTTGAGAAAAGTCCCAGTCTATCCAGCCTCGAACCCTCCATTCCTGGCAACATCCAGGTAAACCTTTTCTGAACCCCACTCTAGTTTAATAATATCTGTCCTATAACAGGGTAACCAGAACTGAACACAATACTCCAGAAGAGGTCTCACCAACGTCCTGTACAGCCTCAACATGACATCCCTCCAATCCCAATCTCTCGAAAGTTTCCCAACTTCCTGGCGAATGCCCATATTGGTCAGGAATTGGAAATACCGCCCATTGTGACTTTAATGTCAGAGTCACTGCATGGGCTTCCCTAAACCCAGTGTTCCCACTGTCCTTCACTCCCCATAGTACATTCCAGATTGTTCCACCTAACTGTCTGAGGGTAAATTTACCTGCTGAAGGTAAATGGGTGTCCGTTCAGTTATCAGACCCTCTCAGAATCTCAATTTTTTTTTTCTTTAATCATTCACGGGATCCGGGCATCACTGAGTGTGAGTGTGTGTGTGTGTGTGTGTGTGTGTGTGTGTGTGTGAATGTGTGTGTGTGTGTGTATGAGTGTGAGTGTGTGTGTGTGAATGTGTGTGTGTGTGAGTGTGTGAGTGTGAATGTGTGTGTTTGTGTGTGTGTGTGTGTGAGTGTGTGCGTGTGTGTGTGTATGGGTGGGTGTGTGAGTGCGTGAGTGTGTGTGTGTGTGTGAGTGTGTGAGTGTGTGTGTGTGTGTGTGTGAATGTG